ATCCTTTTAGTTTCTAGTTCTTTGCTACTCTAAAAATCTCTGCTATAAATATTTATTGTACATATGAATCCTTTTTAGATATCTTTGATTTCTTGAGGGCATGGGCCTAGTGCAAGTGTCTCTTGGTCAAAGAGGGTATATAGAGTTTTGTAGCCTTTTGGACATAGTTCCAAATTTCTTTCCAGATTATCTAGACCAATTCACAGCTTCCCCATTAATACATTAATATGTTTCTTTACTACAACCCCTCCAAGTCTCTTCCCACACCAATCTATACTTCATTCAGTGGTTAAATTAATCTTCCTGAAGTATAGATCTAATGATATCATCCTTTCCCATTCTCCATTCAGTAAACTCCAGTGGCTCCTTCCAGGATCAAATATAGAACCTTCTGTTTGACATTCAAAGCCCTTCACAAGCCAGTCTTGCTTTTTCAGTCTTCTTAAACAGTCTCCCTGCTATGTGCTCTGTGTTCCACTGTCACTTTCCTCCTTGCTGTTCCTTCACAGGACACTCCATCTCCTAACTCCTGGCATTTTCACTGGTTGTCTCCCATTCCTGGAATTCTCTCCCTTCTCATCTCCACCTCCTGGCTTCCTTGGCTTCTTTCAAGTCCCAGGTAAAAACCCATTTTATATAAGAAAGATTTCTCAATCAAGTCCCAGGTAAAAACCCATTTTATATAAGAAAGATTTCTCAATCTACCTTCATACCAGTCTACCTTCACATGTCCACTCAGCCTTCTCTCCGCCTCTTCTCCTATTTGGTTGGAGGGCTGGAGAGTGGAACACTAAACCCCTCCCCAAACTTACCTTTATAGAAAGCAGTATGTGTCCTTTCCAGCTCACTTTCGCTTTCCATCTGTAGCCTATTTCGTTTGAACTCCATGGGATAAGATGCTTCCACACCAATCAAGCCCTAATGTTCCTGTCCAGCTTCTTTTTGTGTTGTCTTCCTCCGTTAGATTGTAAGATCCTTGAGGACAGAGGCTGTCTTTCTTTTTCTTATTTGTGTCTCTAATGCTTAGTACAGTGCCTGGAACATAATAGGCCCTTAATAAATGTTTGTGCAGTTGAATTAGGTATCCTGTGTATATTTAGTTTGTGTAATTGTTGTTTTTATGTTGTCCCTCCACTCCTCCCACCCCCAAATAAGTAGTGAACTCCTTGACAGAAGAGACTGTTTTTGCCTTTCTTTGTATCCCTAGTGCTTAGCACAGTGCCTAGCACATAGTAGCACCATTTATTGACTGACCTCCAAGATTTGTCATTTTCCATCAACTTTGCAGTCTGATGGGTATGAATTGGAACCTCAGAGTTGCTTTAATTTGTATTTCTCTAATTATTAGTGATTCAGAGTATTTTTTTTTTAAAAACATGGCTACTGTTAGTTTCTGAGTCTCTAATGAAATTTTAATCATTTCATAGCTTTGTTATTAGTAAATGGCGTATTTAACATTTCTGCTCTTCAGCATTTGTTTGTGGCGTTTTTCTGTTCTTATATGTGGTCAATTTTTGTAAAATTACACAAAATTACTTCACAGCTAAGAAGTATGTAGACTCCTCTCCATTTCTTTCTAGTGATTATCAGAGAGCTAACAGCTCTAGCTTTCCTAATATTCTGTTCAGGCCCCTAACTTCTTTCATGTTTATCTTTTTGTTAGAGTTGTGTAGGTCTGAAAGGGTCACATTGAAGCCCCTCCAAATTATTATTTTGTTGTCTGTTTTTACCTGTACTTTGTTCAGCTTTTCCTTTAAGTACTCAGATACTGTCATTCAGTGCATATGTAAAACATACTATACTGTTTTTTTAACCATGTCTTTTATTTAATGTCTTATCTAAGATTATTATTACTGCTTCAGCTTTTTATTTTTTAAGTTGTTTTGACTAGTAATAAATTTTATTCTGGCTCCAAATTTTAGCTATGTTTCTTGTAACACCATATTGTTAGATTTTATTTCTAATCCATTCTGGTATCCTCTTTTCCTATGGGTGAATTCATCCATTTACATTCATAGTTGTGATTGTTAATTGGATATTTCATAGAGGCCACTGAGTCCACCCCCTTCATTTTATAGATAAGGAAGCAAGGCCAAGGGAGGTTTCCCAGGTCACAAAGCTGGTAAGCATCTGAGGCAGGATATTTGAATTGAGATCTTTCCGATTTTAGGTTCAGCACTCTATCTGCTTAAGCCTCAGAAGAGGAGCCTACTTTTTGTGTTCCTTAAGGGCTTCTTTCAGTGGCATAAGAGTGGGAATTCAAAGATGCATGTCCTTTCAAGAGGGATCGAGGCACTCTCATCCAGCTAACATGCTGGATGCCAGCTGGAGTTAGTATTCTCCAGGATCTTGATAGGTTAGAACAGTGGGATAAATCTAATAAGATGACATTCATTAGGGGTAAATTAAAGCCTGGCACTTCGGTGCAAAAAAATAAATTTCACAAATTAAGATTGAGAAAACATGGATATATAACAGTTGTACTGGGGATTTTAGAGGATGGAAGCTCAATGTGAGTCAGTCACGTGATGTGGCAGCTAAGAAAAGCCTGTGTAATCTAGTGCTGCATTAGATGGAATTGATTGTAGGAATAAAGTTTTGCTTTTTTTCCCTTCACAACATCTCCTATGTCTGACCCCTTTTCTTTACTCATGTAGCTATCACTTTAGTTTAGGACCTCATTACGTTTTTTCCTAGATTATTGCAATAACTTCCTGATTGGTTTCCCTGCTTTAAATTTTTCTCCAATGCAGTGCATCCTCCACACTGTTGCCAAAGTAATTTTCTACAATCACCGATCCAACTTTGTCACTCTCATGCTCAGTCAACTCCAGTGTCTTCCTGTTGTCTCCAGAATAAGATATAACCTCCTCTAGTTGCCTTTTAAAGCCCTTCACAACCTAGCTACAACCTGATTTCCACCCTCTTGGATATTACTTTTCCTTCTGCGCTCTGAGGTCCAGTCAGAGTGACCTCTTCTCTATTCCTGACATACAGCACTCCCATTTGCCATCTCTGTGTCTTTGTATAGGTCATCCCCTGTGCTTGAAATGCATTCCCTTCTCACCTGTGCCTCATGTAATCCTCTTCTTACTTTAATATTTCTTTCAAACACCACTTTTTAAAAAAATTAATTTATTTTGAATTATCGACAGTCACTTCCATAAGCTTTTGAGTTTTAAATTTTTCTCCTCCTCCCCCCTCACCTCCCTCTCCAAGACAGCATGCAGTCTGATATAGGCTATACATATACATTCCTATTAAGCGTATTTTCACATTAGTAAGTAAGAATTAGAACCAATAGGAGGAACCACCAGAAAGAGGAAACAAAACACAACAGAAGAAAAAAATAGCAAATAGTATGCTTTGATCTGCATTCAAACTCCAGTTCTTTCTTTGGATGTGGATAGCATTTTCCATCATGAGGCCTTTGGAGATGTCTTAGATCCTTGTATTGCTGAGAAGGGTTAAGTCTATCAATATTAGTCATCGCACAACGTGGCTGTAATTGTGTATAACGTTCTCCTGGTTCTGCTCACTTCACTCAGCATCAGACCATGCAAGTCTTTCCAGGTTTTTCTGAAGTCAGCCTGTTCGTCATTTCTTATAGCACAATAGTATTCCACCATTCTCCAGTTTATGGGCATCCTCTCAATGTCCAATTCTTTGCCACCACAGAAAGAGCTGCTATAAATATTTTTATACTTGTGGGTCCTTTTCCCATTTGTATGATCTCTTTGAGATATAGCCCTAGAAGTGCTATTGCTGGGTCTAAGGGGATGCACATTTTGATAGCCCTTTGGGCATAGTTGCAAATTGCTCTCCAAAGTGGTTGGATCATTTCACAACTCCACCAACAATGCATTAGTGTTCCAATTTTCCCACATCTTCTCCAACATTTATCATTTTCCTGTTTTGTCACGTTGGCCAATCTGATAGGTGTGATGTGGTACCTTGGAGTTGTTTTGATTTGCATTTCTCTAATCAGTAATGATTTAGAGCATTTTTTCATGTGACTATAGATGGCTTTAATTTCTTCATCTGAGAACCCCTGTTCATATCCTTTGACCATTTATCAGTTGGGGAATGATTTGTGTTCTTATAAATCTGACTTAATTCTCTATGTATCAAACACCACTTTCAACATGAAAGCTTTTCTGATTTCCTTCAACTGCTAATTTATTCCTTCCCAAATTACCTTGTATATATATATCTCCTTTGTATTTATTCTCTTTCTGTTTATATGAATCTTCCAATCAATATTACCTGTATATTAATTTATTCTTTAAGTACATATTAAGTGGTAATTTTATGTATTTGATTCTATGTCTTGTCTTCCCAGCTAGATTGTAAGTTTCTTGAGGATAGGGACTATGCATTTCTTTTCCTTCTTCTCCTCTGCTTCCTCCTGCTCTTCCTTCTCTTCCTGTTTTCTTTCTTTATCTTCCTCTTCCTTCTTCCTTTTCTTCTTCCTTCTTTTCCTCCTCCTCCTCCTCAGTACCTAGTGTACTGCTTGGCCATACTCTTGATTAAAGCATAGAGATATTCCACTCTCTGTCTCATCACCTTGATGAGAATGGAGAAACAATAAATCAGAAAAGTTAAATAGGAATAAAATAGGAAAATGTTGCATCTTAAAATGAAAATGAGAAAACCTTTTAATAGATAGGTAGAGAATGGGACAGAAGTAAGACAAACTGCTACTGATTTTAGGTGTTCATCTGAATCCATCTAGGGCTAATCCATTTTCTCTGTAGGCTTACTGAATTATCAGTCTCCATTGCACAGCCACCTTCATTGCTGAAGTTTTGTTCTTTGTTAGAAGGACAAGGTACTCCGTAGTTGTACTGCATGGTACTGGTTGGTAATTACAGAAATGAATCATGCCCTATGTTGACCTGTTTTTCCCTACCTCCTCCCCACCATAAATGAAGTACCCTTTGTGACTTTGTGTTTGGGATTATGCTGAGCTTCCTAAATAATCCATGTCTTTATTTCAGTGGCCTGATTGTTCCTGAGAGAGATGGTAATGAGACTGTCCCTGAAGTGGTGGCCTCCTCTGGGCATGCTCTGCTGCATTTCTTTAGTGATGCTGCCTATAACTTGACTGGATTTAACATCACATATAGGTAAGCCTTTTTGTAAATGGTTTAAAGAATTTTTGAGTGTCACTTATGTGAACTGACTCCTTCTCTATTGCCAGTCAACTAGACTGATTCTTTCTTTTTGCCAGAACTAAGCAAGAAATTTTAGGGCAGCTAGGTGGCACAGTGATAGATTATCTGGACTCAGGAAGACTCTTCTTCCTGAGTTTAAATCTGGCTTCAGACACATAAGCTGTGTGACCCTGGGCAAGCTACTTAACCGTTTGCTTCAGTTTCCTCGTCTGTAAAATGAACTGGAGAAGGAAATGGCAAACCACTCCAGTATCTTTGTCAAGAAAATCTCAAGTAGGGTCACAGAGAGTCAGATTGGACTGAAAAAACGACTGAACAACAAGCAAGAAATTTAGTGAGAATGAGAAAATCTGACAAATTTAAAATAAGTTTGCTTAATAGTTGGAAAAAATGAGGAATGAAAAGAGTTATATAAAAGGAAGTAGATGTTACTAGGATTTAGAGTAACTCCTCTGGAATTTAACTAGTGAAACAAGTTTCTTTTGGCACATGTTAATGAGGGGCCAGGTGGTGTATTAGATAGCCTTTAAGCCAGGAAAACCTAGGCTCAGATCCTGCCTCATACACATTCTGTGACCTGTGACCTTGGGCAAGTGACTTAATCTTTCAGTGCTCTGGAAAATTCTCTACAGTTGCAGAGAAAGTGCTGACTTGTATCAGTTGAGGGAGTTTCCTCAACTGGAATTCTCTCTATCAGTAGAATGTCAGGTCTTTTTCCATTCTTCTCTCCCTCTAATCATCCTTAAAATTTCAAAATGATATATTAAGTAACTAGTTTACTGAGATCATATTAGGGGTTCTTTCTGCAGATTCATTAGCCTTCACTGTCTTTTTTTTTTCCTTAAAGAAAGGTGTCTTCTGAAATGTTTCAGAGACTTCTTGACAGCCTATGTAAATATACATAGGACAGAAAGGTAGTTTTTAGTGGCACAGGCAGGCATCCTCTGTGATAGATGGGTTCATTTTCCATGTTCCATGTGGTATTACATTTCTTTTTGATATGATTTAATAAACTTTATAAATTTGTATTTTTCTTGTCCCTTCAGCTGACAAATCTAGTTAAATGACCATGTAGTAATAATAATAATAGAACACCAGTATTTGGCCAGTAGCCATAGTGAGAGTGAGCCAATGATTGGCTTTTGGCAAATGGACTTGGTATATAGTGTTCTCAGGTGGGAGATGTCAGTGGGGAAAAGGGAGATGGGCATTTCTAGGGCCCTGAAAGAACTGGAAACTTTTGCATGGATGACATTAACCATAATCTGTGTCTTCAAGAATAGTTGATAGAAAAGCTTAAAAGAAGTACCATCCAGTTTGGAACTGGGTGATTTTCTTAAATTTTAAAATTGCTTTCTTTTGTTTTTATATCATCTACATTTCCCAGTATATCCCTCCCCCATCCCTTTCAGAAAGCAGTCCCTCATAACAAAGAATAAAAGGCAAAAACAGTTAAGTAAAACTAACCAGTATATTAAAAATACTTTGACAATATGTACAGTTTTATTTTATTCACACTTCTAATTACTTTCTCTTTGTATATTTATTTTTAAATTTGTGTATTTCCCTTTCCTTTGAAAATCAGTCTTAGAAATGTTTCTCTTAGGGGCAGCTAGGTGGGGCAGTGGATAGAGCACCGGCCCTGAAGTCAGGAGGACCTGAGTTCAAATCCGACTTCAGATCAAACACTTGACACTCACTAGCTGTGTGACCCTGGGCAAGTCACTTAACCCCAATTGCCAAAAAAACCCAAAGAAACAAACAAACAAAGAAATGTTTCTGTTGTGGGTTGGAGTGTTTGGTGGCATGGGATAGAAAAGAAAGGGGATGTGGATTTTAGAATTGGTCATCCAGTTGTGGTGGCAGTGTGACAAGGAAAGGAGAATATTTGGTTTTGGGCATAACATTTGTGAGCTAACAAAACAGGCCCAAGGGACAGAAGAGGTTAGTTAGATGTCATATATTAATGGAGATCTGTAAAGTGATAAAGTGAAAATTCTGGGTCCAAAAAGCAAAATAAAATAGTTTTATGAAGAAGCTAATGCCCAGAAAAGTTGACTGAAATTAGTGAAACCCAAAACCCTGAGAAGAAATCTTTACAACTACAACTACAACAAATCTTTACAATTCCATTTCTAATGGGAGAATGATACTGAGCTTAGGAAAGTATGTCTGGGCTCTTTAGAGCCTTCCTTTCTTTATCACATACCTTCTGGACTAGTCTCGTGTTCACCAGGTGGGCTCCCTGTGACTCTTTGGAATCTCCCATGGCAGTTCCCCATCTTGTCCATCCGTCTCCCCTCCTCCTGCCCCCCAAGTAGATACCTTTCTTTGTCCTCCTTTCTCCCTCTCCTCCCCCTCCAAAGTGTATTTTCACAATCGTATTATGAAATGTATGTATATATATGTGTGTACATAGATGTACACACATATATTTCTTACATATATATTTACATATAATGTACATGTCTCGTAATATCCCAGCTGTTATGAGATGTATGGATATGTTATATATATAGTGTGTGCACATGATGCATATTGTCTTACACATATACACACAAAGGCATAATATACACATCTTATAACATCATTAATATTAGTATATACACATGTATATTTATATATAAAACATGGTATATATAAGTTTCATACTGGAATTAAAAATTATCAACAGTGGGGGGAGATTTGGCAGTTCATGTCAAAAGACCTAGGGATTTTATTGGACTGCCCACTAAAGAGTCTGTATGAGTTAACAATGTTATTTGGCTGCTGAAGAATCATGTGCTTCTAGGCTGGATTAGTGGATACCTAGTGTCTAGAATGGTAATAATGGTAATTTTTCTGTCCCTATCAGAATACATATCAAATATTATCTTTATTTTTTGCATCACATTTTGATTTCCTTTTCTATTCCCAGCTCTTCTTATTTTCTTCCTATCACCTTCAAACAATGAGGTTTTCTAACTATTTTCCTTATGTATGAAATAATCCTTTCTCTGCTTTATCCTTTGTGTGTGTGTGTGTGTTGCGCACGCACACACACACATTCCTTCATTACACACACATTCCCCCATTAGAATGTGAAGGCCTTGTTAGTTGAGATGATTGTTCTTTGTACTTTTATCTCTAGTGCTGGCATATAGTAGGTGCTTAATGGATGCTTGTTGATTGATTTTCAGATTACCACTCAGTCTGATGACCTTCCTCTAAATTATGTAGTAAGAGAATAGGGAGCCAGCAATTTATTCTTTAGTGAAATTAAGTCATTTGAGAATCCTCTGGAACTGACTACTTAAAGTAGCTGGCCATTCCAAATGTGCTTTCCTTTGTCAGCCTCTGAAGAAATTGTGTGAGCTGTTGCTTATAATACTGTTGTGAGAGACTTTAGAGCCTACAGAGGGGAAATACGGTGTAATGACCTGGACTTGAAGTTAAGAGAACCATTTACCTCCTTGCTCTGCTCTGTATTATCAGAGCATGGCCGGCTTTGGGCCGTTTTCTTCAGTCAGAGAGAGATAATAATGTTGTTTGCCTTTGTCACAGATTTGTTGTAAGGAAAGCCCTTTGTAAATCTTGAAGTGATTAGTTGGAGGTGATTAGTTGTTACTACTTTAAGTTTAAAGCACCCCGGAATATCCTTAGGTGGACTACCAGATATCTCACTCCTTGACATTCTTCATTCTCTCTGCAAAACAGACTTCCCACGTAGCTAATTCAGTTCAGAAGTGCAATGAGATTTGTAGAAGACTTAGACAACAGGTCATTTTTTTTTCAGCCATAGATATTCTCTAAGATAGTTTGCTAAGTCATTGAGTCAATACCCCTACACTTATGACTCAGATTTTAAAATATTCCTGGTTTAGGTTAATACTTCTTTTTTTTTTTTTAAAGCCATTTATTGTAGTTGGTAACTCAGTCATTGGTGATTTTTTTTTTTTTTGGTGAGGCAGTTGGGATTAAGTGACTTGCCCAGAGTCACACAGCTAGTGAGTGTTATGTGTCTGAGGGTAGATTTGAACTCAGGTCCTCCTGACTCCAGAGCTGGTGCTCTATCCACTGAACCACCTAGCTTTCCCTCTATTTGTTTTTTGTTTTTTTGTTTTTTAAGGCAATTGGGGTTAAGTGATTTGCCCAGGGTCATACAGCTAATGAGTGTCAAGTGTTTGATCTGAAGTCGGATTTGAACTCAGGTTCTCCTGACTCCAGGGCTGGTGCTCTATCCACTGCACCAGCTAGCTGTCCCCCCTCTATTCATTTTTTAAGACCCTTCAGTGGCCGGCATATTTTTAATCTATGCTCCATCTTCCTCCAAAGTTGCTTTTGGTCAAACATTTTTGAATGGTAAGACTTTATGTAACTTGCTGCTTTAAAGGCCAGTAAATGACCAAGCATTTATTAAGCACCTACTGTGTGTCTGAGTTCTAGGCTCTGGGACAACAAATATAAAAGTGACAACAGTCCTTGTGCTCAAGAAGGCACGCCTAGTTTTGGCAGGTAGTAGAGAAATGCTATCAATCCTGTAATCATATTTTTATGATCCTTGAACCCAGATTCTTTGTCACACTGTTTATGGAAATTACTTGTTCACCATCATCAGTCAGTCAAAAAACCAATATTTATTAAATGCCGGCTACGTACCAAGCACTGTGCTAAGTAGAAAGAGAATAAATAAAAAGGACATATATGCAAGGTAATTTGGAAAGGAAGTCATTAGTAGTTGTGGAGGATTAGAATAGACTTCCTGTAAAAGATGACTTTTAGAAGCTTTGAGATGTCTTTAAGGAAGAGGGGATTATATGGGGCAGAGGTGAGGAGGGAGTACATGGCCAGTCCAAAGATATTGAGATGACAAATGAAGTGCTGTATTTGAGAAATAGAGAAGAGGGCACTTTGGCTGGATCTCAGGGTGCAGGAGGAGAAGTAATGTTCAATGAGGCTGGAAAGACAGGTTGTGAAGGACTTTAAAGGGCAAGCAGAGGAGTTAATCTTCTCCAGGAGGCAATAGGAAGCTGCTGAAGTTGATTGAGCATAGAAGTGTAAGATGCTTGGTATTGGTGGTTGAGGAGAATTACTTTAGCAACAGTGTGGAGGATGCACAAAACTGAGGAGAAACTTGAGGGCAGGAGACCACCCAGGAAGCTATCAGAGCCTGAAGTAAGATGGTAACATTGTAGGGAGTAGGGGAAAAGGGTCAGATTCAAGAGAGTCTGTAGACTTACAAAAGGCTAGATTTGGTAACTGATTGAATAAGATATTGCATGAGAGAGAGGGAGGAGTTGAGGATGAGGTCAGGGTTACAAAGCTGACAGAAATAGGGCAGTTTGGAAGAATGGAGGGTTTGAGGGGAAAGATGATGGGGTCATTTTGGAACTTGTTGAGTTTGAGATGTGGCTAGGAGATACCTAACAGGCAATTGTTGATGCAGGCCTGAAGATCAAGGCAGAACCTGGGGCTGGAGATACACGTGCATGGGCGCGCACGCGCACACAAACACACACACACACACACACACACACACACACGAAATCATATGTGTAGATAGACATATACATATGTGTGTGTATATTTGTGGATCATCTGCATAGGTGATTATAGTTAAACTCATGAGAGCTGATGAGGTTATCGAGAGATAGTATAGAAGGAGACGAGAAGGCCCAAGATAGAACCTGGGGGAAGAACCATGATTCAGGGGCATGCTATCAATAATGAACCAGCTAAGAGATGATTGAGAAGGAGTGGTCATACAGGTATGGGGAGAGCCAAAAGAGGGCAGTGTCAGAGAAAGTATCCAGAAAGAAAGAGCATTCGGCAATGTTAAATGCTGTAGCAGACTGCAGGAAAAGAATGAGGGCTGAGAAAAGACCATCAGATTTTGCAATTAAGAGGTAACATCGGAAACTTTAGAAAGATTAGTTTCATTTGAGTGATGGTATAGGAAGCCAGAATTCAAAGAGGTAAGGAGTGAGAGGAGAGAAGGTGGAAGGAGTGAGCATAAACATTTTTTAAAGGAGTCTGATGAAAGAAGTTATTCACAAGTTCATTTCTTTACCTATATTGAGAATTACCTCAGCACTGCTGTTGTTTGTCCTTTGTTTTCAAAGAGGACCAATGACAGAGCCAATGCAGCATGACAGATCTGGGGAGCTCGTTCTCATCTTTGACTCTGAGTAACCTCTGCCACTGGTTGTGTTTCATTCTGTCACGTATGACTAGTCAGTGTTTCATATTTTAAGCAAGTATGATTTAATTTCAGTACCTTCAGGGTAGAATTTTTAAACACATACCTAGAGCCTCACGTTTTTCTGCTATTTTTTTCTTTTTGGCTTTTCAAGAGTATTGATTTCAGTAGATGGTACAGTGGATCTCAGAGCACTGGTCCTGGAATCAGGAAGACCCAAGTTCAAATCTGGCCTCAGACACTTGATACTTCTTAACTGTGTGACCCTGGGCTAGTCACTTCAACCCCAATTGCCTTCCCCCCCCAAAAAAAAAATTAATGTACTAAATTAAGTCTTAAACAATTAAAAAAAATTTATTTTTTTTTTTAGGCAATTGAGGTTAAGTGACTTGTCCATGGTTATATAGCTAGTAAGTGTCAAGTGTTTGGTCTGAGGACAGATTTGAACTCAGGTCCTCCTGACTTCAAGGCCGGTGTGCTGTATCCACTGTGCCACCTAGGTGCCCCTCTGAAACAATTTTTAAAAAATGCTTTAGACTGTATAAATGAAGCTTCTTCCCAAAAGAGAAAAAAATTTTTTTTGATGTTTTCTTTCAATCCTTTTTCGTAGAAAGAATTTTTGTTATTGTTGTTTAATCATTTCAGTCACATTCTTTGCGACCCCATTTAAGGTTTCTTTGGCAAAGATACTGGAGTGATTTGGCATTTCCTTCAGCTCATTTTATAGACAAGGAAACTGAGGCAAAGAGTTGATTGACTTGTCCAGGGTCACACAGAGAGTGCTCTATCCACTGTACCACCTATCTGCTCTAGATAGAAAGAATGTATTTATCTCTAAATTATAGATTTATTATTTCTCTATCTCCTGGCAGCCACAAGTATTGTGTGTTACAAAGATGAATTCTTATAATAAATAACATTTAGAGAGCAAACTAATTTATATCTTGATCCTCTTAGACTTTACAATTTGTGCACATATGCCTCTATTAACTATTAATAGATAGCGGAGGAAAATATTTTGGAATACATTTATAGTTTGGCTCTCATTATGATGTCTTATTTACCAGCTGTAACTGACCCTTGAATTTTTTCTCTTCTGCTTTGATAAGCATTTTTTTTTTTACCCTCCTCATTGGGAATCCTTAGAAGAAGTCAGAACTCATAAACTTGCTTCTTTAGGTCACTTATTGGTCACTGTTCATTTTAGAGCAGGTGCCAAGATCATCGTTATGACTCGTGCTTCCTTGAGAGATTAAGGCTATGCATGTATCACTGTTAAGAAAAGAAGTGGGCTCTCTTATCCCCTCTCCTACCCATATTTTTATATAACTGCAAAGAATGTTAAACATCTTGTTTTCCTACATAGGTATCACTGTAACATTTTCTAATAAACACATTAACAACTGACCATTATCTAGAGCTCTAAGTTTTATAAAATTGTTCTTCATGTATTATTTCATTTGGTCCTCATAACAGTCCTATGAGGTAAGTGCTACAATGTTACTATTCCCATTTTGTAGACTTTGAAACTGAGGCTAAGAGAGGTTAAGAAATTTGTCCAGAGCTATACAGGGGCAGTTTAGGTGATGCAATAGATAGTATGAGGCTTGGAGTCAGGAGGAAGACTAGCTCTGTGACCCTGGGCAAGTCGCTTAACTCTAAATTTGCCTTAGTTTCCTCATCTGGAAAATGAGCTAGAGAAGGAAATGGCAAACCACTTGAGTATCTTTTTCGAGAATACCCCAAATGGGGTCATGAAGAGTCAGACATGATTGAAATGATTGAACAGATACAGGTAGAAATCCAAAAGGTCCATACCCACACATCTAGTGATTTGGGGCCAAAATTAGTCCTAGGGTCGAGTGCTGTTGGTGCTTTAACTCTTTCTCCTCCCTTGCTCCTCTCTACTTAGCTCTGATAAGTTTGAATAGAATTTCCCTCCCCTCTTCTTCCTCTTTTCCTTGGGCCTGCTTCTTATCATGTTAGCCCTTGATTTTTAAACTTCACTTAGAAGGTGAAGGATTAGGTACTTCTCAGCCTGTGACTATGTTCTCTCTAGCTGCTCTTTTTGGCTCAGTAGCAATGCTGCTGTGATGCAGTAGACATTATTAATGGATAGATGAAAATGAGAGTTCAACTTATGAGCCTTTTACTAAAGTTCTTCCAGATATACTGATGTTTTGTTTGCTGACTTTCTTTCTTTTTTCTTGTGTTTATAGTTATGACATATGCCCCAATAACTGTTCTGGTCGAGGAGAATGTAAGCTCAGTGATGGCAGCGACACTGTCAAGTGTGAGTGTTTAAAATACTGGAAAGGAGAATCATGTGATATTCCTTACTGTACAGATGACTGTGGCTATCCAGATCGAGGCATCTGCAATTTAAGTGGCGTTAGAGAATGCTCGTGCTTCCCAGATTGGCAGGGTGAGAATAATCTTGCATATTTTGTTTGCCTTGGAGCCTCTAACCCCTCTCTCCTTTAAAGATAATTCAGTGAATTCACCATGGGTGTATATCTTCAGCGCATAGACATTTATAACAGTTGAACTTTCCGCTTATCAGGAGCTTTATGCTGTACCTTTAAATTCCAAAGGTGTGTCGTTAAGTTAGTGTTAGCTGTCTAGAAGTGGGTTTGGATTTGAGCCACTGAGCTCAAGAACACCTTGCTTCTTCTTCATGCAAATTTGAATTTAAGAACTCTACATAATCATAGATAGCATCTTGGACTATATGGGGTCATATCAGAGGTGTGGTCTAGGTAGTAAGAAGAATGATTATAAAGTGTGTTTGCCTAGGAGCTTTCACTTAGAAAATCATAGAGAAGGAGAAGGTGTAACATGGTAGGCTCCCAAAGAAGTCAGGTCCTTGAATGGTACTGGGAAAATGGAGATAGCCAAAATGTAGACCAGCGGAGTTTTACAGAATCACCGTCATTTTTGAAATTAACCCCCCTCCCCCCAATGCTCTGCTTTTCCTTTGTGGGAAGAAAAATGGATTTGTTTTTGGAAATCTTTTCCCAGGTGGTTTTTTAAAAAGCATTTTGCTGGCATTACCAATTTTTTCAGTGGTCGTGTGAGTTTGGTTGGCATTTTTAGTTTCATTAATCAAATATTTGAGTGCCTATTGAATGCTTATCATTAAGTAAAAGTCAAACTCCTACCTGAAAATCTGTTATGGCTACTGCATTTTGGGGAGTCTTGAGTTTTGTCTAGCTTTAATATTGCCTAAAGAATATGTGCATGAAGTTTCTGACATAACTAATACTATGTAAGTACCAGGTTTAGTAGCATACAAATTAGAAGAGGGATCCAAGGTTTGTCAGTGCTCTCTTGTACTAGTTTACCAGAGAAATTCTTAGGCTTTGTAATTGTCTTACTTACTCACTGATGCCATTTGCTAAAGGCTACTTCTGGTGCGTGACTTCAAGTAAAATTTAGTTTGAGCCTAAGCTTGTCATAAGCACAGGTGATGTGATTTCAGGTTTTAGTGATGTTTATTTGAAATCAATAGCTATAACTCAGGTTTGGTCCATTAGCAGAATAGAATGGAGAGGTGAAAATTCTGAAGCGTTTTGTCTCCTATATAGATGCTGAGGTTACATATGGGAGAGGGATAAACTTGGTGACATTTCTCTTCTAGGTACATTTTTCTATGATTCATTGCCTCAGTTGTAAAGAACAAACCTCCTCAAATGTAAAATCTTCCTTTGTTTAACCGGTGTTTATTCTGTTTCTCACTAGGACCTGGCTGTGCAGTTCCTGTGCCAGCTAATCAGTCATTTTGGACTCGGGAGGAATACTCTCAGCCAAAGCTCCCCAGAGCATCCCACAAAGCTGTTGTCAGTGGTAACATAATGTGGGTTGTTGGAGGTTATATGTTCAACCATTCAGATTACAACATGGTTCTGGCGTAAGTTGAACGACTTGTATTGTACATTTTGAAAATACGCTTAGTGTTAATTGTCAGAAAAACACTGTGATCGTGAAGAAAAATACCTTCTTCTTCAAACACAATTTTGACATTGATGTTTTGAATTCTCCTACTAAGGGTTTAAAAAGTGAGAGAAATCCACTTCTTTAATCAAAAATACTTTAAACATTTCAGTAGAAACTCAGTTAAAGACTTGGGATTATTCTGGTATTCAAGTACAGAGTAGAATATTTTGTAACATTTAACAAGCACAATACATCTCCTTCTGCTGAGAATATTCTCCTTACTTGGCTTTCTTAATAACTGCTCTCTCCTAATTCTCTGCCTTCAAGTCTTCTCAACTATTCTTTTCCCAGCCAGCTACCATTCTGGCTTGAAGAGAAAGACATCTTAAGCAGATTGGTATTTTCCAAAGAGACTCTGATTGATACTCCTGCTTATATATTCAAACTGGTTTTGGTAGGATGAAATGATTCAAATAGTTTCCTTTAGAGAGGAAACTATTTTTTTGGGGGGTAAAATAATATTTTTTTTCCCAATTACATGTAAAGATAGTTTTTAACATTATTTTTTTTTTTGTTTGTTATGGTTTTTTTTGCTTTTTGGCAAGGCAAAGCAACTTGCTTAGGGTCACGCAGCTAGTAAGTGTCAAGTGTCTGAGGCCGAATTTAAACTCAGGTCCTCCTGACTCCAAGGCCAGAGCTCTATCTACTACGCCACCTAGCTACCCCTTCAACATTCATTTATATAAGTTTTCTGAGTTGTAATTTTTTTCTCCCTCCCTCCCTTACCCCGCTCCCCGTTTTCCAAGATGGCAAGTAATCTGATATAGGTTATACTATGTGCAATCATGTAAATGCATTTCCACATTAGTCATGTTGTGAGAGAAGAAATGGAACAAGAGGGAAGAGCCACAAAAAAACCAAAAAATAAACTGAAAATAGTATGTTTCAATTTGCATTCAGACTCCATAGTTCTTTCTCTGAATTTGATTAGCATTTGGAGTTGTTTGGATCATTGTATTTTTTTAGGGGGGAGGGGGCTAGGCAATGGGGTGAAGTGACTTACCCAGGGTCACACAGCTAGTAAGTGTCAAGTGTCAGAGGTCAAATTTGAACTCAGGTTTTCCTGACTCCAGGGCCAGTGCTCTATCCACTGAGCCACCTAGTTGCCCTTTGGATCATTGTAATGTTGAGAAGAACTAAGTCTGTCATAATTGATCTTTGCACAATGCTGCTGTTACTATGTACAATGTCCTCCTGCTTCTGCTCACTTCATTCAGCATCAGTTCATGTAAATCCAGGTTTTTCTGAAATCCGCCTACTCACCATTTCTCATAACAGAGTAGTATTCCATTGCATTCCTCTACCACAACTTGTTCAGCCATTCTCTAGTTGATGGGCATCCCCTCATTTCCAATACTTTGTCACCCCAAAAAGAGCTGCTATAAATGTTTTTGTGCATGTGGGTCCTTTTCCCTTTTTTAATGATCTCTTTGGGCCACAGACATAGTAGTGGTATTGCTGGATCAAAGAGTATGCACAGTTTGATTGTTCTTTGGGAATAGTTCCAAATTGTTCTCCAGAATGGTTGGATTAGTTTGCAGCTCTACCAGCAATGCATTAGTGTTCCAATTTTCCCACATCTTCTCCAACTTTTATCATTTTCCTTTTCTGTCATAATTAACCAATCTGATGGTGTGAGGTAGTACCTCAGAGTTGTTTTAATTTGTGTTTCTCTAATCAAGAGTGATTTAGAACATTTTTTCATATGACTATAGATAGCTTTAATTTCTTCATCTGAAAACTGCCTGTTCATATCCTTTGATCATTTATCAATTGGGGAATGTCTTATGGTCTTATAAATTTGACTCCGTTTTCTATGTATTTGAGAAATGAAACCTTTATTATAAATACTTGATGTAAAAATTATTTCACATCTTTCTGCTGTCTAATGTTGGTTGCATTGGTTTTATTTGTGCAAAACCTTTTTAATTTAATATAATAAAATTATCCATTTTGCATTTCATAATCTCTGTTCCTTGTTTCGTAACAAATTCTTCTATTCTCCATAGATTTGACAGGTAAACTATTCCTTGGTCTCCTAATTTGCTTAGTGTATCATCCTTTATGTCTAAATCATGTACCCATTTTGAACTTATTTTTCTATACAGTATGAGATGTTGGTCTATGCCTAGTTTTTGCCACACTGTTTTCTAGTTTTCCCAGCAGTTTTTATCAAATAATGAGTTCTTATTCTAGAAGCTGGAGTCTTTGGGTTTATCAAATAGTGGATTACTAAAGTCATTTATTACTATGTCTTGTGTACCTAATCTATTTCCACTTATCCACCACTCTATTTCTTAGCCAGTACCAAATAATTTTGATGATTGCTGCTTTATAATATAGTTTTAGATCTGGTATGACTAGGCCACCTTTCTTAGCATTTTTTTTTTCATTAATTCCCTTGATATTCTTGACCTTTTGTTCTTCCAGATAAATTTTGTTAGTATTTTTTCTAGCTCTATAAAATAACTTTTGGTAGTTTCTTTCATATGGCACTGAGTAGGTAGAATTGTATTTTGTTTGACTCATTCTTGCTGTCTCATGGAGTCATTAACTTCTACTTGCCCAATTCTAATTTTTAAGGCATTATTTTCTTCAGTTAGCTTTTGTACCTCTTTTTCCATTTGGCCAATTCTATTTTTTTTGTCTGTTTTGGGTTTTTTTTTGGCTAGGCAGTGGGATTAAGTGACTTGCCTAGGATCACACAGCTAGTAAGTGTTATGTGCCTGAGGCTGGATTTGAACTCAGTTCCTCCTGAATCCAGGGTTGGTGCTCTATCCACTGCGCCACCTAGCTACCCCCAATTCTATTTTTTAAGGAGTTGTTTTCTTCAGTTAATTTTTGTGCTTCCTTTTCCAAGCTGTTGACTCTATTTTCATAATTCTCTTGCATAACTCTCATTTCTTTTCCTGATTTTTCTTCTGTCTCTCTTACATGATTATAAAAATCCTTTTTGAGCTCTTCCAAGAGGACTTTTTGGGCTTGAGACCAATTCATATTCCCCTTTGAGGCTTCGTATGTAGGCATTTTGACATTGCTGTCCTCTTCTTTGTGTTTTGATTTTCCCTGTCACCATAGGGCTCTTTTTTGTTTTTTGCTCATTTTTAAAAGTTTAGCTCTCCTAGGGTACAGGGATCACTGTCCCAAGCTTTTTGCACTGAAGGCCAAGGACCTTGTCACTGGCTTTCTGCACAGGGGCCTCTGGGGCTGGTGGCTTGCCCGCTGTGCTGGGGTTGCCTGGCCTAGTTGCACCTAATATGCCCTTGGTTCTGGGGCTGGCAGTTTGCCTCGAAGTTAGCCTGCTGTGCCACTGGCCTGCTGAACCAGGATGGCAGGGTCTTGCTTGCTGATTTATGCTGTGGCTAAGAGCCTCACGTTGGCTTGCCCAGACACTGCCTACAGTGTGTTGTGCTCCCCTTTTACCCAAGTGAGACAGACCTTTCCTGAAGTCCTTCTAAGTTTTCTTGGGCTGGAAGATTGTTTCACTCTGTCTTTTTGTGGATTCTGTTGCTCCAGAATTCTTTTAGATGCTTGATGTGATGTTTTTTTCCAAGGGGAAGCTGGGAGAGCTCAGGCAGCTTCCTGGCTTCTCTCCACCATCTTGGCTCCACCCCACTGAGGCAACTGTTTTTTTAGAAAAATTTAAGATTTTTATTGACAATTTTGGTTTAACATTATACCTTATCTTCCTTACTCAATAAACTGTCCCTCATAACAAAGAATAAAATAAGAGGGAAAAGGAAACTAACCGGTTCATCACCTAATACTGTATATACAGTATCCCACACCTTTAGTATTACATATCTGCAAAGAAGTGAAGGAAGCATATTTTATAATCTGTTCTTGTGTCAAGCTTTGTGACTGTAACTAATACTTAAGTTTCCTTTACATTGTTCTCATTATGGATGTTGTTTTCCTGCTTCTCCTTGCTTCACTCATTATCAATTCATATGAATGTTTTGATGCTTCTTGATTCTTCATATTAATAGTTCTTTACAGCACAGTAACATCTATTACATTCACGTACTACAGTTTTAAGCTATTTCCTAATCAACATCAACTTTGTTTCCAGTTTTTTGTTGTTACTAAGCATCGCCATGAATATTTTGCAATATGTGGGACTTTTCTTTCTGTCTTGACATCCTTGGAGGCTACATGCTTAGCAGTAGCATCTTGGATAATGGACATTTTAGTTACTTTTTAAATCCAATTCTCAGTTGGTCATAGTTAGACATTCATAGCTCCACCAGCAGTGTCTCAGCGTGTCTCTCTTTCCATAGCCCCTGCAACACTGACTGCTTCCATCCTGTCATATTTACCCATTTGCTTGGCATAAGGTGAAATCTTAGATTTGTTTTGATTTGCATTTCTCTTATTATTGGTGTTTTGAAACAGTCTTCAACACGGTTGTTAATAACTGTGTTTTTGAGAAGTGTTGTTCATAACCTCTGACCACTTGTTCATTGGGGAATGGCTCTTGGTCTTATATTTGTTATCTTTGTATATATCTTGGATACCAGACGCTTGTGAGATGTTTGCTGCAAATATTTTTTTTTCCTAGTGCACAACTTCCCTTCTTTTCTTTGTTACATTGATTTTGTTCCTACAAAAGCTTTTCCATTTTATGTAATTAAAAGTATCTGTTTTGTTTTTTGTGATCATCTCTATTATTTATTTCTTTAAGTACTCTCTTCCTAGCCATAACTGTGAAAGACAGAACTCTCAGTGACTGTATTAGCTTCATTGTTTCCTATAGCCATTAGGGGAGCAGGTCATAGCAGAAATTATTAGCAACTAATACTTTTATTATGACTAAGCCCTTTAACTTACAGTATGTTGTGCTTCTGTGTCATTAAAGAAGTTCTACAATTTGAAAATTCATCTACAAAGACAGTTGAATTGTTTATTCTGGTTGCATGGACTATTTTAATATGAATTTCTGTTTAATAGATTACCTAGAAGCTCTTTGTTTTGGAGATTCATACATACATACGGGCATGCATGTAGCATGCATACATACACACACACATACATGGAGGTTGCCTCCTTTCTTTTCCAGAAGCTAATTGTACATTCCACCATTATTGACATCTTCCAATGACTTATCAGAGGCTGAAAGTGACTCTTGCTTCTCAAAGGCAGTGCTATGGACTACAGACTTTAGTAGGTCTTATTCTTTCATGGTGCTGAGAGTCTACTTAATTGCACTTAAGAGATAGATAATAAGCACAATTGTGAGCTTTGTTGAAGTGTTAAGATCTTTACCGCCTTTGAGATCTTTACCATAGCAAGATGCTGCACTTTGCCTTTGTCCAGAAATAACACAATGACTATACATAGGTGTTCTTGGTTCCAATTTCATTTAATGAGAGCTGCAAAGATGTAACTTGCACAGCCGGTTATCTGGCTGGTAGTAAGGGTGAGCCCTGGCTACCTTTGGCCCCCTAATTATTCCATTTCAGTATCCCAAAGGGTCATATCTCCTGGGCTTGTCTTGTGACAAAATTACAGGATTTCAAAACTGGACAAGTTCTCAGTGGCCAGCTAGTCCAGCCTGTAACAGAAGAAGAATCCCCACTATCACGTAGTTGACTTGTATGGTTTAATTATCCATCCCTGTATGTTTAAACTTATTTCTGCAGAGCTGTTCCCTGCTTTTTGATCTGGGCTTTGGGCTTTCTGCTGTTTTAATTGGTTGGGAGCTAGGATCTCTCAGTTCCTGCTTTTGGATCTTTGCGTTTTGTTTGGTCATGGTTTTACTTATAAAGGTAGTTGGTCCTTTAGCATACAATCTAGATCATCAGGGCCTTGGCAAATTTATCTTTGTAGGATAGGGCTGTTTCAGAAATGTGTTGAGGACGTTACTAGGCGAGTGAAAACTTATTGATTTCCTTTCTTTTTCTCAGGAGGCAGTGAAGACTCTCAGATGATGGTGTTGCCTTTGTGGCTACATCAGAAACAACAAAGCTTTCTTAATTTGCAGAGCAGGATTTTTATAAATACATTTGTATGTAGCAACCATAATGAGGTTTTCTTGAGTAGAGTAACTGCAAATGAGCCGTTATACCTTCTCTCATTTCACTTTTTAGGACCTAACCAATTATCCCAATACACCTACCATGTTGGAAACACTTTGAGTACGAACCCAGTGATTGATTGTAGGTTTCTGGTCTGATAACCTATCCAAGTTTGGAGAATTTTGTAAGCCACAACGACTTGTAAAGAAAAATCTACAAAGGCGTTGGGTAGGGAGTATCCATGTTGGTGAAATCTTTGACTTCTTGAAAGTTTTGAAGTGTGGTGATACATTGGCTCTTTAGCAAAAACTGATTTCAGGGAAATCCTGTGATAGTTATTGAAAGTCAAACAAATCTTCTTTTAGATAAGTAATATAAATTGTTTTAGGGAGTAGGGCCGAGAACATCATATTTGTTACTCAAAAAAGTATTTACTTGTGTTCAGTCTTGAAGAGTATTTCTTTTATCTACTTAGTTGTTTAAAATTTAATACCAAAGGGGAATGTAGCTTTAATGATGGTGAATTATTTGTGGATTGGTGAAAAACATTTTAAGGCTTTTTTCCCCATCAGAGTCTACGTCATAAACTGTCATAGGTAAATAATAATAGTTTAGGAAAATTTTGATGCTGTTAAGGTCATATCTTGTAGTAGGTGTAAGAGGCAGTGCGATGTAATAGCAGGAACCTTCACTGGTCATGGAGTTAGAAGATGTGGATTTCAGGCCCAGTAGTGCTTAGCTCAGAATGTGACCGTGGACAAATAATTTAACCTTTCTGAGATTCATTCTTCTCATTTCTTAAATGACAATGTTTTTACTGCTGCCTACCTCACTGGGTTCGTGGAGTCATAAGATTTAGACCTGGGAGGGACTTGAGAGAATATCTACTGCAACCTCTCATTTTATAGATGAAGAAACTTAGGTCAGGTATTAAGGAACAGCTGGGATTTGAACCCATGTCTTCTGACTCCAGATGTTTTCCACCCAGTACTTGGAAAGTACTTTGTAAATCTGATTTGCAGATTGTGAGTTACTTTGACCTATTTTCCTTGTGGACTTGCTTTTATCTTTTTTATTTCTTGGAAAAAATAGATCTTTACTGAAATCTTTTCATGTCACCTTCATTTCCTGATATTCAAGTTTTTTATTCACATTTAGGTCATAATTACACTATGCATTGGGGATGTATTAGACTGCGTAGTATCTCTTGATTCTATTTCATTGCATAATTTGTTGAGTTCAGTAAGTATTAAGTGCCTTCTGTGTGCAGGAACCCTATGCTAGGGGAGAGGGTGGGAGGGGGAAGATAGTGAAATTTAGATAAGGCATAGTCACTGCCCTCATGGAGCTTACAGTATAGTAGGAGGACTATGACACTTTGGTTTAAAAAAACAACAACAACTAATGTCTTAAATAACATGTTATACCTGGGCTTTAAATATGTCATCTTTATATTAATGGCAGATATCTCTCAAATATTTTGCCTTTGTTGATGCTATTTAAAGAAATGTTTAACTTTTATGAAATGCTAGTAGCTGACATTTATGCGGTCTTTTGTAGTTATGGTAGATTTCACATACGTTATCTTATTGGTGTTATGAGTCCATTTTATAGATAAGTAAACTGAATATCAGGGAGCATAAGTGCCTTGCCCACAATCACAAAGCTAATTAAAACACTAAGGGTTGGCTTGCTATTAGTTCAGGGTGGTTTCCACTGCCCTCTCTGTGACTATGTAGGCAATAGGCAGGAATCTGACTTTGGTAGGTGCATTTTTGTTAGTGCTTGGGTTCTGGACATGATGTTTAAAAACTTACTGACCTTGATCTTGTTAATAGCAAGTTCTTCCTGGTAGTTGGACAAATGATAAAATCTTAATTCAAAAATAATTCACAATACATTGTGTTGTACAGGAGTAATTTGATTAAGCACTCTTAATTGCCCTTTTAACCTAAAGCTTTTAAGTTTACTTAGAAATGAATTTAAAATTTTACATGCACACACAAAACTTTTAAAAAACCTAGGAGTTTTTTAGGAAACAGAAAGGTCTTTAAAAACATTTTTTTTGTATTGTAATTAAAATGGTTATAATTGCTTTCTAGGTTTGTTTAAAAAAATATGAAGAATTAGAGAAAGATCCAGAAGCACAGATTTGGGAATCACACTGTTTGTAAATTTGTCATTCTTTAATTATCCTTGATAGTTTGAAATAACAGGCACTCTCTGTCTCAAACACACACACACACACACACACACACACACACACACTCTCTCTCTCTCTCTCTCTCTCTCTCTCACTCTCTCTCTCTCTCTCTCTCTCTCTCTGTAAGGCAGTTCTATAGGAATAGTGGAACAAATGGGGCAGTTTGCTCATGGCATCATAGCAAAATGTTGCAGCTTTTTAGTTGGGTTGTTAAGGGTATGTTTGTACTCAACATTGAATTTTGTATAATGAGTTAAAATAGAAGGCCTGGTAATGAAAGTAAAGGTTACCAGTTCCAGATCACAATGAGCATGAAATAAAGTGCATGTGAATATGAAATCCCTTAACAGCTCTTAAAATAACCCTTCAGCCTCTCCATATGTTGCATGTCTTCTCTTGCCATCCTTTCCCCCCACCTTTCAGTCTGTGGGCTGAATTGAAGTCTAGCCTGGGAGTGCTGACATGTAAATTCTTTATTGAAGTTTCAGCGTGGGCTAGTGTATACAGAGCAGGCCTCAGAGCCAGGAAGAACCAGGCTCAACTTCTGCCTTTGAAACATAACAGCTATGTGACACTGGGCACGAAACTTAATCTCTCAGTTCTTTAGGCAACTCTCTGACAATAAGTTGCAGAGAAAATGCCTGTCTGTGTGGGTAGAGGGTGTTTCCTCCCCTGGATCAATAAAAACACAGGCCTAGTCCCTATCCCTATAATGAAGCAATAGCACCAATTTGGATGGGTTGGTCATCAGAAATAACTGTTGTCCATAGCAGTTATTATTTGCTTTCCTTTTTTTATGAGTACCAGGGTCATCCCAGGTACTTACCTATCCAAGTACTTACCTGGTGTGACTAGATGGCTCCTTCTACCCCCTCCCCATCTCTAGCAAATTCAGTGTGATTCTGTAGAACTGATAATAAAGAACAAAATGTGAAATACTTTTGTTTTAGTAAAACCATAATCTCTCCTTGTTGTACAGGTATGACCTTGATGCTGGGGAGTGGCTTCCACTGAACCAAACTGTAAATGATGTGATTGTCAGATATGGTCATTCTTTGGCATTGTACGAGGTAAAATGTCTCTGCTAAGGGATAAGAAATTTAACTTTTCTGTGATTGTTTAATTTGTATTATTGTATTGTTGTTAAAAAGAGATTTAACATGACTTTTGATTGGTAAAATCTTGCCTCCTATGTGGAAAGCATAATAAAAGGCAGAGCAGTAGATAAGTAGAAATGAAGAAGTTTAAGCTGACTTTAATATCTATCAGAGTGATTTTTAACAGAATTCAAATTGTATTAGGGAAACGTAATTGTGGGGCAGGACACTTAAAATCCTAAGACACACTGAAGTTTCTTATGTAATTAGTCACAAGCATATCTTTTCATAAATGTTTAGATCACTTGAAGAAAGAATAATTATATTACCCAATAAGACTGTACAGTAGTTTTCACATTTTTTTTTCCTTTTCTCTATGTTAGGGAATAGTGTGAGAAACCTGTTGAGTTTTGTTTTTCCAAGTCACTTTATACTGCAAAAGACTTCATCAGAGGAAGACCAGGAAGAGTGGACAGGTGTTGGAGATATATCATGTGATGAGTTACAATTTGACCTCCATAGGATCATAGATTTAGAGCTGGAAGTGACCTTAGAGGCCATGGAGTACAACCCCCTCCTTTTATAGATGAGGAAACTGAGGCACAGAAAGGTTAAATGACTTGTCCAGGGTCACACAGCTAGTAAGTGTCTGAGGTGGGCCTTGAACCTTACTCCCAGCCCAGTGCCCTATCCACTGCATCATGTTCATTCCTGCCTGAAAAAAAAAATAGACCATAAGCTGTATATCAGTATCACACATTATATAAAATCATGTTTGTAAAAATCATTTATATAAATTCTATACCTCTTCAGTGACTTTTCTAAATGTCTAGAATCTAAAAGCAGTCATTAAGAATTTCCTATGTAATGTAGAGTAGAAAGAAATGACCTTTCTTCTTCTCTTCTCACGTTTGAGCCTTTTAACATGTCTTCCAAATTTTGTTTCTAGGACAAAATCTACATGTATGGAGGAAAAATTGATTCAACAGGCAATGTGACAAATGAGTTGAGGGTGTTTCACATTAAAAATGAATCATGGGTTTTATTGGCCCCCAAAGCAAAGGAGCAGTATGCAGTTGTTGGGCACTCAGCACACATTGTCACAATGAAAAATGGCCGAGTTGTCATGCTGGTCATCTTTGGTCACTGTCCTCTCTATGGCTACATAAGCAATGTGCAGGAATATGACATTGGTAGGTACATTATTGTCAGCGGTTGCTTTTTAACATTTATTACATAGTTAACACTGAGCCAGTCTTTTATCCTGAAACTTGGTTAACATTGATATGGTATGGAAGATCAGAGGTGGCAAAATGGATTTGTATATTTCAGCCATTGACCAGTTTTGAAATCTCCAGCATGAGAAATGTGGACATTTGGATAAGGTCTTGAAGTGACAAAAATGATTATTAGTACTGGAAATTGAGACCTGTGAGGAAATTTTTAAGAAACAGAAGTTATTTGATCTATCTAAAATGGAACTCCTTTCTGCATTTCTTCTGCCCTTCATCACACTCCCACCTGCAAAAAAGCCCACAGCAACAAATAAACCAAAGCCTGGCTCCCATGTTGTCTTGCCTAGTCAGTTAAAAAAATCATGCCAGCTCCATGCGGAACACTAGATTTACATATTGGGTTTATGCAGAATACTGTATGTATTTCCATGCTGGGTTGGATGCTGAGTCGAGAGATTTGATATCCACCTGCAGAAAGTTTATAAGTAGCACTGCATGACACCCACAGATAACTTGTGTTAGTGGTCCTGTCACCATTCTTCTAATTAACTAGGCCTGGAACTTTTATGCCTGCCTTTCCCTTATATGCCACATTCCAAAGTCACCAATGCCCTAGAACTTCTGCCTCCACAGTCTTTTCAGCTCTCTCTTCTCTTGTCCATTTTTATTGCCACCAGGCTATCATGGGCTCTTAGTATAGGTCTTGGATGGTTCCACTTGTCTTCTGACCACTTGTTTTCCTACCTTCAGTTTCCCTCTCCCTCCCACCCTCACTGTTTTACACATTGTTATTCCCTAAGGGCCTTTAGAGGTTGGCCCAGAACCTACATACCAGCATACAGTTTTTCATACAGTCACTCTTACCCAAATGTTTCACAGAACCTTTGCTCCTGCTCTTCCCTCCTCATGCTCTTCAGTTAGGGAAGCCTGGAATACTCTTCACCTGTTGAAACCTTGTCCTTTTGTCAAGACTCAGCTAAAATGTGGCCTCCTTCATGGAGCCTTTGAAGATCTTTAGTGACTGAATAGGATCTTTTCCTTTCCTGAAACTTACTAGCACTTTTTTTCATACCTCTTTTATGATAACTGTACAAAGATTATTATAAATATTTGAATATTTTATATTGTCACTCTCTTAGGTTGTAAGCTGCTTGGAGAAAGAACTGTGTAATGAAAAGAATTGCCTTTTGTAAACCTTAGGGGTCAACTGGGCCTGTTTTTGTTTTGGGTAATGGAAAACACTTTAGTTAAGTGGAAGGTTTTTTTTTCTTAAATCCTGATTGGTAGAAGAAAGGGAGGTGTCTAGTTATCTAAGTGATTGCATGGGAAAGTGTATAGAATAGCAAAAATCTGCCAGCAATAAGGTTTCCTCATTGTCTAAAAATGAATTGAGACTATATCATAGACCATTGTATGGGTGCCAAAGCACCCAGATGGACTAATCTGGAATTGAAGGGATGAGAGATGTCATTCTCTTTTTGAGGACTAGATATTCTGTGGCATAGGAGGAAATCTTGCAGGCCTTGGACTGTATCTGTGAAATGCTGGATTATAGGTTACCATAACAAGCAGAAAAGCACGAGCTAGGTAGGTAATCTTCTATACACTTCTGATTACTTGCAACTACATTGTTGATTTTTCTGTATACAATATTTTCTCTTTTGAATAAATCCTAAAAAAAAAATCTGAAAATGACTGGCTGATTTCTAGCTCAGGAAGCCACAAAGGCTCAGATTGGCACCTTGAACCACAATTTAGAAATTGGAATTACTTAGAAATTAGTGAAGAAAGCTTTGTAATCTTCTTGAGGGCCAGGACTTTTTCCCCCCAATGTGAAACTGCAGCCAAAAAGATGATTCCGATATTAGAATGAATTAATAAATTAGTACATTTTGTTAGGAAATAGGCCTGTTTTCTTTTGCCCTGGTTAGCTTTCATCTGGAATATTAAGTTCTGGTTGTTAACATTTTAGGAAGGATATTGACATAGGTTCATTATCCAGAGGGTAGAGGGACAAGAGCACTAGAGACCATGTCCCATGCAGAGTAATGGAAGGAACTGAGTATGTTGAGCTTAGAGGAGAGAAGCGTGCTTGCTCTCTTGGAAGTATATAAAAAAGATGTCTGTGGAAGAGGGATGAGATTTGTTCTTCTTGGCCCCAGAAAGTAGGACTGGGAGCAATGGATGGAAGTTCCTAGAGGGCGATTTTGACCTGATGTCAGGAACAGCTTGTTAACCTTGAGAGCTGTGCAAAAGTGGAATAGATTCCATTCAGTTCCATCAAATGGAGGCTGAATGATCACCTCTGGAGGAGGAATTGCTCCTCAGATATAGATTAGACTAAAAGATAATAATAGTTAAAATTTATATAGCACTTTAAAGTTTGCAGAGCACTTTATGTATTTTATCTTATTTGATCCTCACAACCCTGTTGTAAGGTAGGTATTGTTATTATCCTTATTTTGTAGATTAGAAAATTGGGGCTTGATAGAAGTTAAATAACTTGCCCAGGATCACACAGCTAATAATTATTTCAAGTAGGACTTGAATGAGCTCAGGTCTTTCTGACTCCCAGAACAAGACTCTATAATAAAATATGGATTGAATAAGCCAGTATTGCATTTACATATTTCCCTTTCCCTTTTCCCTTAGATCTGTCCCCTATATCTTTCCCCAGTCCCAAACCAAAAATCTACCCCCAAGCCCACAAGATCTTGCTATGTTTCAGAAGCAACGGATATCAGAGAAGTTGTGATAGCCTAATTCAGAGAAGCTGACATTGCAGTACAATAACTTAGCCTAGGAGGTCACTTTCGAGGTGAGCTAAGATTGCCTTCTGTTATGTAAGTGATGAAGAGAAGCCAGCCAGGGTATCCTGATTTGTTTTTAGTTTTAGTACTAATGAGGTTTAACACTGTTGCACTCTCAGTTGTGCTGTGAAGCGGGAGGCTGTTTCTCCTATTCACATCACCTGGTTGAAGTTGTAAAAGGGATTGAATTGGCTGTGAAGGAAGTTGTTTTGTATTCCCAGCTTCTTAGTATGCTCTAGAAACTGCTGTACTCTCAAGAACCCCAAAGTATCTGTTCGGTATTATTGGTAAGGCCTGCTTGTGCTCTCTGGAGCTATGGGGAATAAAGCTTACATTTCTTTCCTATAACTAACAGTCCTTCAGTCAGTCAGCAAACATCTCTTTGTTAATAATAAATAGCACTGTTCTGGATATCAGGGATGCAGTGACAAAAATGGAACTGCTCCTGACTTCTAGGAGCCTACCTTCTATCTGGACAGATGCCATGTACATATATTAGCATAAACTGAATACATACAAAAGAAGCACAAGGTTATCTAGGGAAGGAAGTAGCATCTGGGGCTCAAGAAGAACTTCATGTAGAAGATTACGTCCTTGATCCCATCCTTTCTCTGTTAATTATTTGAAGACATCTACTAGGTCTCCTCTGAAATTCCTTTTCCCAACTAAAGATACCCAGTATCTTTAACTGTGCTTCATATGACAATTTGCAGATTTCTTAGGATCCAGGCCATCCTTTCTTGCATGCAATTCCATTTATCAGTATCCCTCTTAAAATGGTATTCAAACTTGAACTCCAATTTAGAGCTTGGGAAAAAAACATTTGTGCAGATCTTTTTTAATATTACATTGAATATTATTCATTTTACTCATCATTCTAGCCTGTTGGATCTTTGAATCCTCAGAATCACAAACTCAGAAGGGTTGTGACAGGGCATCTAGTCCAACTTGTACTGGAGTTCGCTGTATAACATCATCTTTGACAAGTGATTATCTGAAATCTACTTGAATGCCTCCATTGAAGTAGCTCATTCTACTTTTGGATACCTTTAATTGTTAGGATTTTTCCCTTACATTGAGGAGATATATTCTTGGTAACTTTTATTTGTTATTCCTGGCTTGTCCCCTTGGATTCAAGTCTGATCCCTCTTTCACATGCTGGCTTTTCACACAGGTCTAGCTCAGAGTTCTAAATGCCTGCCAGCTCCCTAACACCTGCTTCCTCTTCTAACTGTCTCAGCACCAGCACCTCATCCTTCCCCTTGGGCTCTGCAACCTAGACCTCCTTGGTGTACTGTATTCTTTTAGCCTCTCATGATTAACTTATAAGGAAATGGCTACCAAGGAAGCAGCTTACAATATAGTTTGTTAACACAAAATCATTTAGTTTTCCTAGGTGGTATTAATTTTAGTTGCATCATTTAGCACATTGGCCATTCCACTGAGAAATTAGTGCTAAGGAGTGGGTATATATTGTCTGATAGTTACCTTGGCAAGTCAGAGATGAGAGGAATAGGATAAAACATAACTTTAATTTGATTTTAAGGCCTGTCAGCGCTACAGCAGAGCAGCCCAGGCCACTTAACTGACAAGAATAGAAAATGGCTTTGCTTGGGTTTCAGCCATTAATTCCAAATTCTTTCCCATTTCTTTTGATCTCCCTTTCTTTTCTACTTCAGTTCCCAGAATGCACACGGTAACCTGGTTCAGCTCAGGATATTCTATCAGTTTGTTTCCCTTTGCCCTTGAACACTACTTTGTTCTGTGCCCTCCTTGAGGGGAAACGGTTTTGACAGTGGACATGGCCTTAGAGTTCTGAGGCCAGGCTGTTTCTGATTCAACAAGTTTTCCTGGAGAGCAGTCTGAATTAACTCTTAAGTAGGCAACAATGGGGGAATTGAGGTGTTATTTCTTTATATTCTGTCACCTTTTCTTAGGTTTTCTACTGTGCCTGGCTTAGGGTTGTAACCCAGAGAGATTTTACCTTTCATTGGATTCTAGCTCTTATAGTCTGGGCTTGGGTGGGGCTTACTTACCTGTTTAATCTCTGTTGACTTTGTAATTCTTGCTGAATATGCCAGATATAAAGAGTAGGAAAAAAGGTCATCTGTTCTGCCTGGAATCTGATCAGTTCTGATTTCTTAACCTTTGGCAGAGTTCAGGGGCAGGGAATTTGGTTGTGTAACCAAATTGCCATTGGCAATTTTATAATCTGTCATCGTTTCATTGTTCAGGGTTTTGAAAATAGAAATTATTTATTATCATACAAAGAAAAGAAGCCCACCAGCAATTTCATTTCTTTCTCCTTTTACTGTAGACGAAAGACCTCATGAAAAGTCATGGACATTAAGTAAACATTTGTAGTAAGTTGGAGTTTAAGTTTTGCTCAGATGCTCCATATAAATAAGAGCTATTAAAATTAAAATCTGATTATTTAACAAGTTGGTGCTTTCTGATCCACCTTCATTGTCTATTATTTCTGTTGCAATTGTTTTTCTTGTTCTTAACAATAATTTAAAAATGAAAATTGGTCAGCTGAACTATGTCTCCTTAACGCCTTTTCTCTTTAGTTGTCACCTATATGAAGATTCTAAAGTTGAGTAACCTATAGTATTTGACTTTAAATGCATTTCCTTTTTTAGATAAGAATACATGGAGCATTTTACAAACTCAGGGTGCTCTTGTACAAGGAGGTTATGGCCACAGTAGTGTTTATGATGCCAAGACAAATGCCCTCTACATACATGGCGGGTATAAGGCATTCAGTGCCAACAAGTATAGACTTGCTGATGATCTATATAAGTACGATGTGGACACTCAAATGTGGTAGGTACTTTCTTCCTTAATATAACTGTTGATTTTGTTCCTTGGCGTATAATACTGCACAGAGGTAAGTCAGGAAGTATACAGTAACTCATCCTCCTCCTTATTGCATTAGTATATAGGAAAATGGAGAAAATCACCTGAAGCCTATGCCTCATGTTGGGTTTTCATATCACTACAGTGCCAGAGCAAACCCCTAGCTGGCTAGAATTCTTGGAGGTTGAAGTTATTGTGGATTGTTGAGTGTTTTGAGTGGACAAGATTTACCCTTTCATGCACCCAAACTGTGTTTTAATGTTTTGGGAAGGAAATTTTCCCGAGCTCAGTCACAAACATCCCTTCCTTAAGTAGTATTTTCTGAACATAATTTAATGTTGTTGTTGTTATATTTTCTCTTAAAGACTGTGTCTTCCTATGTCACCCAAACTGGAGTGCATAGGCCACTCACTGTCCAGTCCCACTCCTGTTATCACCAGAGCTTTGACCTGCTCTGTTTAATACCTTGGTGCCAATTCCACCCCTGCTTAGGCCACCTGGTTCCCCTTTATCCTCACTTTATTAATGTCAGATTTAGTTCAGATGCCAAATGTCTTAGCGCACGAAGTGTGGAACTCCCTACCAGAGGAACAGGAATTAGAGGTGTGCACCGTTACAGTTTAATGTTTTTTCTTTTTGTTATTGTCGTTGACTTTGTCATAGGGTCATTACTGTAAACATCTGTTATTTTTCTGTGCTTCAATAAACTTATGTTTTCAGAGGCTATTAAAATATAATAGGCCTATTTGCCCCTTCATTAAATGACCTGGCAGGCTGTGTTTTTTGAGGGTGTTTTTTTTTTTTGTGAGGCAATTGGAGTTAAGTGACTTGCCCAGGGTCACACAGCCAGTAAGTATCAAGTGTCCAAGGCTAGATCTGAACTTAGGTCCTCCTGACTCCAAGGCCAGAGCTCTAACCACTGTACCACCCAGCTGCCCCTGTTTTTTGAGTTATTGTTTGAAATTTTGGCTATCAATTTTTGTTCCTGTCTGTTTGTCTGCTTGTACAGCTCATCTAATTCTGTTCTCCTAATTCACACAAGGGATTTGGAAAACAAGTTCTTGAGTTTGTCAGAACTATTTGTAAAGTAAAAATAAATAAACTCTTGAGTCTGGGCCCAAAGAGCTTTACTTTGAGTAAAGTATATGAGCTTCTTTGAATAAACTTTGTGATTACTCAGAAGGCTTTTTGATTTGCATTTTCCTTGTGGATAACTGGGGTACTGTTATTCAATCTAGATTAGACTGTAATCCATGTTATATAGATAAGCAGAATATTTATTCTTACCTCATGAAATATATGATAATAAAATCCTCATAATTATAAGTATAAAGTGACTAATTTGACATATGAAATCTAGTTATAACAGTTATGTTATCTGGGTATTGAACAGAATTGGCACAATATTTTGGAATTTTAAAGTTCCATTAAAAAGTTATTAAGCAAACATCTGATTTCCATCTATTTCTCAAAAGCAATAGGTTTCATGACTTTAGTAATGGGGGAGGGGTTGAGTTCCTATAATTTATGTTAGTCAAGCAGGAAATATTTAGATTTTTTTCAGAGGAACTTTTAACTAGGTTAATATTTCTATCCTTGAATAGACTGAATTTGATTTTAGGGGAGGGGAAAAAAAAAGAAAAACAAGACACAGTATAATATAGAAGGACCAGTCAAAGGACCTGGGTTTTGATTCCTGGTTCTGCTACTTCCTATCTGTATAACATTGAATTGGTCACTTCCTTTCTCTGGGCCTCAATTTCCTCATTTGTAAAATCAGGGGAAAGGTCGGATGATCTCTAAGGCCTTTGTCAGTTCTAAATCCTATGAGCTTAATCTTTGGAGGAAAATTTGTAGCTGTTGAAAGTGATAAGTTCCCAGGACCATGGTAGTAATTCACATTCATGTGGAACTTTATTTTAAATGTGAAATGCCATGACGAGAGAAGCCACACAATAGTCATGTATTTTTTGTTATAAATTAATGAAATGATATTATGCATTCGTCAGTGAGTAACAAGTGTTTTTTAAATGCTTTTTCTTTCCTTAACTTAAAAGGACCATTCTTAAGGATAGCCGTTTTTTCCGTTATTTGCACACGGCTGTGATAATCAGTGGAACCATGCTGGTATTTGGAGGAAACACACACAATGATACCTCTATGAGCCATGGTGCCAAATGCTTTTCATCAGATTTCATGGCCTATGATATTGGTAAGTTTTTCAGAGCTAATGTGGCCTTAAAGGAGCTTCTTTACAGTTTCTTCAACTGTAAAATGGGAGTAATAATAGCATGTACCTACTAGGGCTTTTGTGAGGATCAAATGAGATAATATTTATAAAGTGCTTAGCACAGTGCTTGGCATATATTAGGTGCTTAATAAATGCGTATTCCCTTTCCTTCTTCTCCCTTTTTAGGCTTTCAGGAGCCTTTTGAGAAATGTGCCTTTATATATTGGATAAGACAGTATAGGGAAGAGAGATCTGAGGTTCTTTTATTTTTTTAGAACTGTTTAATGGTTTTCACATTTTCAGAAAGGCATTGGTAGCCTAGTCCTTTTTCTTGGACATTTTTTGGGTTGAATAGTATTAGAAAGTAATTTTTTGAGAGGGGGTTGAGTTACCTGTTAGATGGAACCTTTCCTTTCTTAATTTAAAATGTCCAATATTGTGGAATGCACCTGTTATTCTTCTGCAAGGATTAACCTCAGAAGACCTTTTGATAGGTTGCCAGAATTGTTATGTTTTACTGGGGCAAGTAAATATGCTTTAACAGAGTTCTTCAAACCCACACTACTCTCACTCAGATTAAAAATTACTAAATGTGGTTACTTTTAATGACCAGTAGAGGGTAGTGTTTATTCATACATGAACAGATACATGGACTTGAATGCCATATACCTATTTCAAAAGTAGATGAATCCATCATCAGTTAACTATTGAGGGAAACAGAGACATTTTTGAGGCACTGAGATTGTTCTAGCCCTTTCCCCAAAGAAGCAATGTCAGACCCTGGATATTGTGAATGACAGGCACTTTTGAAATAAGTCTTTCTTAATCCTAGCTTGTGATCGCTGGTCAGTACTTCGAAGACCTGATCTTCATCATGATGTTAACAGATTTGGCCACTCAGCAGTCTTGTATAACAGGTAATTGGACTAAAAGTGCTTGCTAATTTCATCTTTTTTCAGATCATGGCTTAAAATGAAATTCCATGGTATTGAGAACATACAGTACAACTAAAAACACAGGTTGATAACATCAAATTTTAAAACTGTGCTTTAAAACAAATGGAGGGTAAAAGGAAGAAGTATTGTTAATATATAGAATTGGGTTAAAGTTTTATTATTTGCGGGCTTGTACCTTCCATTGATTTTTCTTACAATATTATACAATTGTGAATTTTTGTTATTTACATTTTGATTCTTTCAAAAGTATATTGATATTAGGAACTAAGTCACATTTCATTTTTTCTAAGCAACAAGAGGTGTCATGTTACAATTGCTTTTATTATGATTTTTAAAAATTAATTTATGGGTAGGACACATGTTTGGTAGGTCTACATGCAAACATGTGAGTTTCCCCCTCAGATTTTAGCTGTATTGTAGAGAGAGGCTAATCATCCAGTGAATTAATTGATAAATATTTATTAACTGTCTACTCCTTGTTAGTTGCTGGTTGTACAAATACAATTCATGAAACAATCCTTACTCTCAAGGAGCTTAGAACAGGATTGAGCTTCAGATTCAAGGCTAGGTGGATAATATAGAAGATGAGTTTTAAAGAAGGGAACACTCTTGGAAGAGCTGGGGTTAGTCTCGTGCTACCCTTGGAATCAGAAAGGCTTGGACTATAGGCAGATGTCTAGTACTATCCTGCTTGGGGCTTCAGACTTTAGATCAAATGCCAAAAGGACCAGGACCTCAGGATGTTCTACATGTGTTTTTAACATTTGTGTGTGTCTGATCATCCGCCATGTGGCTATGTGAATAATGACCGGTGCCACGTGTAAATTCTCTCTTTTTCAGTCCCTAGTGGCCCAGACCCTACTGCCTGAACTCCTTTCTGTCCCTTGTCCCTGCCTCAACTCTCTCGTATTTAGAGAGGGAACACTGCACTTGTACCACTCTTCATTATTAGGATCCTGGGAGTTAGAGGCTCTAACTAACTAGTGCCTATGGCTAGCCCATTTGTGCCTCTTGTCCCCCCTAATCCTAGTGACTCAGGACAAAACCCCTCTTTCCTGCTACTCACTATACTTTTATTCCCATCCAGTTCAGTCCTACCGTACTCCAGTCCCTGTCTTTTGCCCTCTATTTCCGTTGTTGGAACCCCCATTCTAAAATGAACACGCTTCTTTTCATTTTCAGTTTTTCTTTTCACACTTTTTCTCCCATCTTGCACTAACAGAAAATCTGGCTGTCTTTGGAAGATGTATCATCGTCGGTTGTTCTCCCTGATGTTGGTTATGCCTTCTCTTTTGTCCTCCCATAAACTGGGCTAGGAAAAGAATAGTAGGTTTTGTTATTAACTGCCACCTCCAGATCATCCATCTGCTACCAGCCCTCTGTCGCTCCTCCTCTGAGGCTTACTTTATCCAGAGAGATCGTCTGGTCCAAACCTTTATTGTTATCTATTGGAGAGGCTTTCCTGTCTTAAGGATTTCATTACCTGATTGTTTACAGCTTTTCTTCCTACCCTAATCCCTGCTCTTGTACTTGGGTATTTCAGTATGTACATTGTTATTGTTTTAAACCGTATTCATCTATTTCCTCAGCTCTCATACTTCACTATGTGTCAGCCACTTACAAAGATGGTCATAACTGAGAAGTTACCATCACCCCATGGCTGTGCCACCTCAGAAATCACAGAATTCGAGAGACCTTCTAGTCCAACAGTACCTGAAAGGAATACCACTGTAACATACCTGACAAAGGATCATATAGAGTCTATTTGAAGACCTCCAGTGAAGGGGAACCCATGACTTCTTAAGGCAGAATATTCCAAATGCATGAAATTAAACTCAGAAATTCCCCTCTGACCGTAATCTCTTGTTTTTCCATTTTTACTTACTCCTAAACCTATTCTTTGGTCTTATAAAACCTCCAGTCCCTCCATTTCTCTCTTTACACCTTCACTTTATTCCCCTCTGTTCTTATGTTCATCCCTCCACAGCTCCACAGTTGATCATTTCAACTGTATACAGCCTTCTGTGATTAGGCTCCTTTGTCCTCTTTTCCTTTTGACATTTGATCCCTGCCAATAGTCAACCCTGGATAACCCTCCTGCCCCCTGCTTTCTCTGCTCTTAGTCTCAAACTGCTGAACTTGGTTGGAATAACTTCTTAATTCAGTGTCAGCTGAGTCCACTAAGCCACTATCTAAATTCAAGTGGCTCCTCACTGCTGCATGGCCAAACTTTTATTCTTCCTTCAATGGTTTCACTTTCCTTTGTAACTTTTCCAAACCTTGTTTGTTCAAGGTTTGTTCTTTGTTCCCACCTTCTCCCCTGCTCCAACATTCTTTTTTTTTTCTTTTTTTAAAATTAATTTATTTTGATTTATCAACAATCACTTCCATATGCTTTTGAGTTTAAACTTTTTCTCCCCCTCCCTCCCAACCACACTCCCCAAGACAGCACACAATTTGAAACAGGCTATACATATACATTCCTATTAAACATATTTTCACATTAGTGATGTTGTAAGTAAGAATTAGAACCAATAGGAGGAACCACCAGAAAGAGCAAACAAAACTCAACAGAAGAAAAAAAAAATAGTAAATAGTATGCTTCAATCTGCATTTAAACTTCATAGTTCTTTCTTTGGACGTGGATAGCATTTTCCATCATGAGGCCTTTGGAGATGTCTTAGATCCTTGTATTGCTGAGAAGGGTTAAGTTTATCAATATTAGTAACTGAACAATGTGGCTGTTATTGTGTACAACGTTCTCTTGATTCTGCTCACTTCACTCAGCATGAGACCATACATACAGTCTTTCTAGGTTTTTCTGAAAGTCAGCTTGTTCATCATTTCTTATAGCACAATAATATTCCATCACATTCATATACCACAACTTGCTCAGCCATTCCCCAATTGATAGGCATCCTCTCAATTTCCAATTCTTTGCCACCACAAAAAGAGCTGCTATGAATATTTTTGTACATGTGGGTCCTTTTCCCATTTGTATGATCTCTTTGGGATATAGCCCTAGAAGTGCTATTGCTGGGTCAAAGGGTATGCACATTTTGATAACCATTTGGGCATAGTTCCAAATTGCTCTCCAGAATGGTTGGATCATTTCACAATTCCTCCAGCAAAGCATTAGTGTTCCAACTTTCCCACATCTTCTCCAACATTTATCATTTTCTGTTTTTCATGTTGGCCAATCTGATAGGTGTGATGTGGTACCTCAGAGTTGTTTTGATTTGCATTTCTCTAATCAATAGTGATTTAGAGCATTTTTTCATATGACTATAGATGGCTTTAATTTCTTCATCTGAGAACTGCCTGTTCATATCCTTTGACCATTTATCAATTGGGGAATGACTTGTATTCTTATAAATTTGACTTAATTCTCTATATATTTTAGAAATGAGGCACTTATCAGAGAGACTGGTTGTAAAAATTCTTTCCCAATTTTCTACTTCCTTCTAATCTTGTTGCATTGGCTTTGTTTGTGCAAAAACTTTTTTTAATGTAATCAAAATTATCCATTTTGCTTTTCATAATGTCTCTATCTCCTGTTTTGTCATGAATTCTTCTGTTCTCCGTAAATCTAATAGGTAAGCTATTCCTCGCTCTCCCAGTTTGCTTGTAGTATCAACCTTTATATCTAAATCTTGAACTCATTTTGACTTTATTTTGGTATATGGTGTGAGATTTTGGGCTATGTCTAGTTTCTGCCATACTTTTTTCCAGTTTTTCCAGCAGTTTTTGTCAAAGAGTGGGTTCTTATCCCAGAAGCTGGGGTCTTTGAGTTTATCAAATAATACATTACTGTAGTCATTGACTACTGTGTCTTGCATACTTAACCTGTTCCACTGATCCACCACTCTATTTCTTAGCCAGTACGAAGCAGTTTTGATGATTGCTGCTTTATAATACAATTTAAGCTCTGGAATCCACCCCAACATTCTTGCTTCCTGCTTTACTTAGAAAAAAGAGGCTACGTATCCCCTTCTCTCCCTGTTCATGCCCCTAAAATCTCCCTGCATCTTTTGTTTCATGTTTTTTTTTACTCATTTAAAAAAAATACAACTGTCTTACCTCACGTCCCAAATGAATCTTCCCTTTAAAAAAGTACCAAAAAATTCAGCAAAATTAGCTGATACATAAATGTGTCTGTGACAGCATATGGAACATTTCACGTTTATAGCCCTTCACCTCTCCAGTGAAAGAAGGAAGGTGCATTTTCTCAGTTCTTGTCTCAATACATCTTCATCTTTTCTTCTTTTACTCCTGCTTTCTTTTAAAAATATTTACCTATTTGGTTTTAGTTTTCAGCATTCACTTTTATAAGATTTTGAGTTTCCTCCCTCTCCTCCTTCCCCATTCCCAAGACAGCGTGCAATCTGATATAGGCTAAACATATGCAATCATATTAAACATATTTCCACATTAGTCACGTTGTAAAGAATTAGAACTGCAGGGAAAAGCCATGAGAAAGGAAAAAAAAAAGAGATATAGAAAATAGTATGCTTCAGTCTGCATTCAGACTCCATAGTTCTTTCTCTGCATGTGAATAGCATTTGCCATCATGAGTCTTCTGTAATTGTCTTAGATCATTGCATTGCTGAGAAGGGCTAACTTTATTAACGTTGTTCATCTCACAGTGTTGCTTTTACTATGCACGATGTTCTCCTGGTTCTGCTCACTTCACTAGTATCAATTCATGCAAGTCTTTCTGTGTTTTCCTAAAGTCCTCCTGCACGTCATTTCTTACAGCACAATAGTATGCCATTACATTCATATCCCACAACTTGTTCAGCTATTCCCCAATTGATAGGCATCCCCTCAGTTTCTAATTTTTTGCCTCCACAAAAAGAGCCGCTATATTTTTGTACATGTGGGTCCTTTTCCCATTTTTTTTTTTGGCTAGGCAGTGGGGCTAAGTGACTTGCCCAGGGTCACACAGCTAGTCCTCCTGA